AAGTGCGCCATGGTCATGTAGAAACGCCTGAAATGGCCACGCACCTTCCTGGCCTGCTTCAGGACGTCCTGCAAGCCTGGGTACTTATGCATAAAGCGTTGTACGATCAGATTACACACAGGTGCCATGCACGGCACATGTGTCAACTTGCCCAAATGCAATGCGGCCAACAAATTTCTTCCGTTGTCACAAACCACTTTGCCGATCTCCAGTTGGTGCGGAGTCAGCCACTGATCCACCTGTGCGTTCAGGCGGACAGGAGTGCTGGTCCGGTGTGACTCTCTGCTTTCAGGCAAGTCAACCCCAAGACGGCGTGACACTGCCGTATCCGGGATGTGGAATAGTACCTGGGGAGCTGCGGGGGGTGCCGTTGATGTGGACGCAGCAGCAGAAGAGGACTCAGCCGAGGAGGTTATGGAAGAGGATGGAGTAGGAGGAGTAGAGGAGGTGGCAGCAGGCCTGCCTGCAAGTCGTGGCGGTGTCACCAACTCCTCTGCAGAGCCACGCATTCCATGCTTGGCAGCCGTCAGCAGGTTTACCCAATGCGCAGTGTAGGTGATATACCTGCCCTGACCATGCTTTGCAGACCAGGTATCAGTGGTCAGATGGACCCTTGCCCCAACACTGTGTGCCAGACATGCCATTACTTCCTTTTGCACAATCGAGTACAGGTTGGGGATTGCCTTTTGTGCAAATAAATTTTGGCCGGGTACCTTCCACTGCGGTGTCCCAATAGCTACAATTTTTTTGAACGCCTCAGACTCCACCAGCTTGTATGGTAAAAGCTGGCGGGCTAAGAGTTCAGTCAAGCCAGCTGTCAGACGCCGGGCAAGGGGGTGACTTTGTGACATTGGCTTCTTACGCTCAAACATGTCCTTGATAGACACCTGACTGTGGGCAGATGAGCAGGAACTGCTCAAGGCGAGAGACGGAGGGGCGGATGGTTGAGAGGGGGCAAGGAGGACAGCAGTGGTTAACGTGGCAGAAGATGCTGGACCAGGAGGAGGATGGCGGCTTTGAGTTTGTGTGCTGCTTGTACTCATGTGTTGATCCCATAGGCGTTTGTGATGTGCGATCATGTGCCTTCGCAAAGCAGTTGTACCTAGGTGGGTGTTGGACTTCCCATGACTCAGTTTCTTTTGGCACAGGTTGCAAATGGCATCACTGTTGTCAGAGGCAGACACACAAAAAAAATGCCACACTGCTGAGCTCTGCAATGACGGCATTCTGGTGGTGGCAACAGCATGCGTTGATTGGCGTGCTGTCTGGCTGACCCCGGGTGCCGATGCATGCTGTCTGACTGTGCCACTAGCTCCTTGCGACGACCTCCCCCTGCTTCCAACTCGTCTCCTCCTCCTCCCTGTCTCCCCATCTGAACTTTCCCCTGTTCTTCTTCTTTCGAGCGGGCACCCACGTGACATCCATGGACGCATCGTCATCATCAACCGCTTCACTTGTATCTGACAACTCAGCAAAGGAAGCAGCAGCTGGGTACAACATCATCATCATCACACCGTACGTCCATGTGTGTAATGCTGCCTGACTGAGACATATCCCTGTTATCTACATCCTCTGGCAATAATGGTTGCGCATCACTCATTTCTTCCAACTGATGTGTAAATAACTCCTCTGACATACCAAGTGAAGCTGCTGTGGTGCTAGTGTTGGTGGTGGCGGCAGGCGGGCGAGTGGTAACTTGAGAGGTGCCCGAAGCTAAGCTGGAGGAGGATGGTGCGTCAAGGTTCCGAGCGAAGCTGTAGAAGATTGGGTGTCCTGTGTTAGCCAGTCAACTATGTCCTCAGAACTTTTCGAGTTCAGGGTACGTGGCCTCTGAACACTGGGCATTATTCTAGGGCCAAAGGGAATCACAGCACCACGACCACGACGGCCCCTGCGGGGTGGCCTGCCTCTGCCTGTCATTTTTTTTTCAATTAGTGGTACTATGCGTGAAAGCTACTGTGACAACAGATATGAGTGGCACGGTGCAGTGGCAGAAGTTGGCAGAGTAGATGCTGTAGGCCAGACACACACGCTTGCAGACAACTAACTGCTATTCAATCTATTACAGTAAAAAAATTTTTTTTTTTTTAAATGTACACTACTGTTACACCAGATATGAGTTGCACTGGTGTGACACTGTGCCCTGGCAGGCCCTGAAACGCACACGTGTGAAGGAAACTGACTGCTATTATATTACAGTCCAAAAGTTTTTTGTTTTTTTAAATGCAAGATATTGGGACACCAGTGAGTGAGTGGTGGCACTGGGCAGGCCCTGAAACGCACACTCGTGAAGGAAACTGATTGCTATTATATTACAGTCCAAAAAGTTGTTTGTTTTTTTTTTTAAATGCAAGCTATTAGGACACCAGTGAGTGAGTGGTGGCACTGGGCAGGCCCTGAAACGCACACTCGTGAAGGAAACTGACTGCTATTATATTACAGTCAAAAAAGTTTTGTTTTTTTTAAATGCAAGCTATTGTGACACCAGTGAGTGAGTGGTGGCACTGGGCAGGCCCTGAAACGCACACTAGTGCGTAGTGGATGCATGGAATAGCCTTCCAGCTGAAGTGGTAGACGTTAACACAGTAAAGGAGTTTAAGCATGCGTGGGATAGGCATAAGGCTATCCTAACTATAAGATAAGACTAGGGACTAATTAAAGTATTTAGAAAATTGGGCAGACTAGATGGGCCGAATGGTTCTTATCTGCCGTCACATTCTATGTTTCTATGTTTCTAAACTGACTGCTATTATATTACAGTCAAAAAAGTTTTGTTTTTTTTAAATGCAAGCTATTGTGACACCAGTGAGTGAGTGGTAGCACTGGGCAAGTGGACACAGTATATGCTGTGAGCCTGACACACAGGCTGGCAGGCAGGCAAAAAAAAAAGCAGACTGATGTTCTAGCCCTAAAAAGGGCTTTTTGGGGTGCTGTCCTTACAGCAGAGATCAGATGAGTCCTTCAGGACTGTAGTGGACACTGAATACACTAGCCTAGCTATCAATTTCCCTATCAAATCAGCAGCAGCTACACTGTCCCTCCTCTCACTAAGAATGCAGCTTCACAATGAATGTAAAATGGATGCTGTCCAGGAGGTGGGAGGGTCTGGGAGGGGGGGTCTGCTGCTGATTGGCTGGAATGTGTCTGCTGACTGTGAGGTACAGGGTCAAAGTTTACTCAATGATGACGAATAGGGGGCAGACCGAACAGCGCATGTGTTCGCCATCTGTGGCGAACGGGAACAAGTGATGTTCGCCAGGAAGTATTCGCCGACGAACCGTTCGGGACATCACTGTCCTTCAGCCATTAGGAGGGTGGTTACAAAAAGAAAGTAAATTATGCTTATCTAACAATAGACAGCTTCCCTTAGATTAATTCCCAGGTAGTAACCCCTTGACAACCAATATGTATACACAGAAAAATGGGATACAGCTATAAGCATCTAGAATAAAAAAAAAAAATACATAGTGTGATACAGTTTACAAAAATAATATTGGGTAGATAAAGCGCTCCGAAGGTGCCTCCCCGATGGGCATTGGGGGCTCATTTTTTACAAATGAATGACACTTTTATGGACTATATTATTGTTGTAATATGTTTTACTGCTTTAAAACACTAATATTTGTGTTTAGTGAAGTCTCCCGAGAATAACAGTACCCCCCATGTACAGGTTTTATGGTGTTTTGGAAAGTTAGAGAGTCACATATAAGGCTTGCATTTCATTTTTTTGACATTGAAATTTGTTGCCTTTGAGAGCGTATGGTAGCCCAGGAATGAGAATTACCCCCATGATGGCATACCATTTGCAAACGTAGACAACCCAAGGTATTGCAAGTGGGGTATGTCCAGTCTTTCTTAGTAGCCACTTAGTCACAAACAGTGGTGGCTCTAGACTTGGCGAGGCCTTAGGCGAAACTCATACATGAGGCCCCCACTAACACCATTATTGAAAAAAATAGCAGTTGATTTGTGTGTGTATAAGAAGCTGTAGATATACTGAAGGGGGAGCTTGCAGCACTGGATATAGTGAGCTAGTCTTTGTATACATCATTGCATTGTCTACCTGTGTGTGTCTGGCAGTGAGGATCCTTGTATATGTATGTATGTTTCTCTGAGCATGTGTATGTTTGTGTACTGCCTGTGGCCTTTGGCACTGAGTTTATGGCGAAGCTATGTTTTATGACAGTGTGTATAATTATTGCCTTCAGGGGTGACAGGGTGAGTAAAGGGGTAACTGTGGCAGGGTGAGTGTAAAAGAGCAGGAGGGTACCAGAGTGTATGGAGGTGGGTGCCAGAGTGTTGAGGGTTGACAATGAGAATGAAGGGAGGTGCCTGTGTGTGCGGAGAGTGGTGCCTGTGTGTTTGAAGGGAGACACAGTGTGTATGGAGGGGGGGTAACAATGTGTATGGAGGGGTGTCAGTGTGTGCCGAGAGGGGGGACAGAGTGTGTGGGGAAAATGACATAGTGTGAGGTGGTGACAAAGTGTAAGGGTGGTGACAGAGTGTGAGAGTTACATTAGTGTAAGGGGTGTGATAGAGTGAGAGGAAGGGTGACATAGTGAAGGTGGGTAACAGAGTAAGAGGGGAGTGTCAGAATAAGAGGGTGGGTGACATAGTGTGATGGGGTGACAGAGTGAGAGGGAGGGTGACAGAATAAGAGGGGGTGACAATGTGAGGGGGTGACAGTGTGAGGGGGTGAAAGTGTGAGGTGGGGTGACCTAGTGTGTGGGGAGCGACAGAGTGAAGTGACAGAGTACAGGTGGGTGACAGTGTGGGGGGTCACAGGGTGAGTGACAGAGTAAGAGGGGGTGACAGGGTGAGAAGGGGTGTGACCGTGTGAGAGGGTGAAACCTAGTGTGAGTGGGGGTGACATAGTGAGAGAGGGTTACATTATTGTAAGGGGGGTGACAGAGTGAGAGGAAGCGTGACATAGTGAAGGTGGGTAAAAGAGTAAGAGGGGGGTGTCAGAGTAAGAGGGGGGTGTCAGAGTAAGAGGGTGGGTGACATAGTGAGAGGGAGGGTGACAGAGTGTGGCAGAATAAGAGGGGTGACATAGTGTGACGGGGTGAAAGTGTGAGGTGGGGTCACCTAGCGTGTAGGGAGCGACAGAGTGAGGTGGCAGAGTACGGGTGGGTGACAGTTTGGGGGGTCACAGGGTGGGTGACAGAGTAAGAGGGGGTGACAGGGTGAGAGGAGGGTGACAGATGGGTTGGCAGGGTGAGGGGTGACAGATGGGGTGGCAGGGGAATGGAGGTGACAGGTGGGCTGACAGGGTGGAGGGTGACAGGGTGAGGGGGTGACAAGTGGGGTGGCAGGGTGACAGATGGGGTGACAGGTGGAGTGACAGGGTGGCAGGGTGACAGATGGGGGGGTGACAGTGGCAGGGGATGGGGTGGGTGGGTGGCAGGGTGACAGATGGGGTGACAGGTGGGGTGGCAGGTGACAGATAGGGTGACAATGGGGTGACAGGGGGTGGTAGGGTGACAGATGGGGTGGCAGGGTGACAGGGTGAGGGGGGTGGCAGGGTGAGGGTGGTGGCAGGGTGACAGATGGGGTGGCAGGGTGAGGGTGGTGACCGGTGGGGTGGCAGAGTGAGGGGCTGACAGGGTGAGGGGGTGAGGGGGGTGACAGGTGGGGTGGCAGGTACTTTTTTCCCTGGTGGTCCAGTGGTGGCAGACTCCCTGGTGGTCCGGTGGTGGCAGTCAGACTCCCTGGTGGTCCAGTGGTGGCAGACTCCCTGGTGGTCCAGTGGTGGCAGACTCCCTGGTGGTCCATTGGTGGCAGACTCCCTGGTGGTCCAGTGGTGGCAGACTCCCTGGTGGTCCATTGGTGGCAGACTCCCTGGTGGTCCAGTGGTGGCAGTCAGACTCCCTGGTGGTCCAGTGGTGGCAGACTCCCTGGTGGTCCAGTGGTGGCAGAGTCTGTGGTGGTCCAGTGGTGGCAGACTCCCTGGTGGTCCAGTGGTGGCAGTCAAACTCCCTGGTGGTCCAGTGGTGGCAGAGTCCCTGGTGGTCCAGTGGTGGCAGTCAGACTCCCAGGTGGTTCAGTGGTGGCAGTCAGACTCCCTGGTGGTCCAGTGGTGGCAGTCAGACTCCCTGGTGGTCCAGTGGGCTCTCCGGTCTGCAGCTCTGCCGGATGCAGACCACATGGTGAATGTCTCGCGATCTCCAGTCAGAGCGTTGCTGTGGTAACCCGCAGCAACGCTCTGATTGGCTGGAGATTGCAAGACACTTCCGTCTCCTCAAGGACCCGACATGTCAGTCTGCTCTATGGCGGTTTAGGCAGCCGCGAGGCCCCACACAGCACGAGGCCTTAGGCGGCCGCCTAAACCGCCTAATTAGAGAGCCGCCTCTGGTCACAAACACTGGCCAAATATTATTTTTTTGCTTTTTTCACACAAAAACAAATATGAACGCTAACTTTGCCAGTGTTTGTGACTAAGTGGCTACTAAAAAGTACTAAACATACCCCACTTTCAATACCTTGGGTTGTCTACTTTTTCAAATGGTATGCCATTATGGGGTATATTCTCATTCCTGGGCTACCACACCGTCTCAAAGGTAACATTACCAATCTGGCAAATTTCAATTTGAAAATGGAACGTTTTATATTTGACCCTGTTACTTTCCAAAACACCATAAAACCTGTTAATGGGGGGTACTGTTATACTCGTGTGACATCGCTGATTACAAATATGTGCATTTTTATCAGTAACAGTATTTAACAGTATTTAACAGTATTATGACATTCACAACTAAAATGTCAGACAGAAATACAAATTTTTTTAAAAAAATCTTATTTTCTCATATTTTTTTAAATTTTATTCATAATAAATTATGTTCCATATATGAATAGTTAATGATAAATTAAAGCCCTGTTTCTCTTGAACAATCCCTGTTCCAGGCTGCCTAATGTCAATTCTGTGCAATTATGTCTGTGCAAAAATTAAGGTAAGTTTATTTTTTATTTGCAAGCTTATAAGGGGTGGGGGGGAGGAGGGAGAGAAAACCTGATGAATGGCTTTCTGATGCATCTTGTGAGTGATCCTCTGCAATCCATGGTAATCTGCAAAAACAGAATCTTTATGGCCTCTTATACAGTACTCTATGGACCTACTCACCTCCGCCACCAGTGGAGTGTCACTATGAAGTGCCAGTTCCCAGTTTTTCTCAAGCACCAGGTGAGGCCTAACTGAGATAAACTTGGCCTTAAGGAGTCTCCAAGTCCATGGCCTGAAGATGCTGGCCTCCTCCAAAGATTGCCATGTAGGCCCCATGCGCTTCCCAACAGTGGGTGTCGACTGATAGTTGACTTATCTGCCTACATATGCAACCGTCCAGTCAGAAGTTACATGCTAACTTGGCACCAGTGAAAGCCATCTTGTCTTTATATATTATGTTAAGCGTATTATTTTGATTTATCACATTTATTAACGTTATGTTAGCAGCGACTCTGTTTTAGTGTTTCAGGATCCAGTGGTTCCTTTTCGTGTGACAACTTATCCACAGTCATTTCTCTTGCCTAGATAGACCCCTCTACGCATTGGCTAAGATCCGTATTCATGTCTAAGTTACTATGGCCTGCATAAATTGAGTTTGCCTAGCTTAATTTTTTGTTTTGCTTTGTTTTACCTAAAAAAAAAAAAGAGGCTCGCTTACGCTAGATCTTATGTACTAATGCATTCCTATTACATGTGACGTGTTTATTTGCTATAACTCTTTTTTCTTTATTCTGTAAAGTTCTCTCTATTGCCTCAATAAAATACAGATTAAAAATATAAGGCTAGTGAATATTGCCCAGTAGGGTACTATAGGAATCTTGGGTATTACATTCTCAAAACTGAATCCATGTCTGTAGCATATTTTGCATTCAACGAGCCAGTGCCCCAGTTCTTTTTTCTCTAATTCTTGTTCATAGTAGCCAAAAATTATTCATCATTTTGTACCTGGACTGAAATAACTAATCGCATATGTGCTGTAATCCCACTGTGGATATTTGCCGTTACGACAACCTTTTTTAATTAAACTATGTTTTTTTTCACTGAGAATGCCCTATTCGGCATTAGTACCTTGCCCCCTTTTTCTAAAAAAACAGTTAAATAAATTAAAACACATCTAGAATCCAACTCCAGGTGAAGGTCTCTACCCTGCCATTCATAACCCATCCATCATCAGTGCTTCACTACCCAAGTCCAATCAAATGCTTCTCACAGACGAAATGTATGTATATGTGCCATTGTAAATAGTGATAAATACCATAGAACCATAGGTTGTTGTAATAAGAAAAGAGTGGTCCCTCGCCAGCTAAACCTATACACACGTTAGCTATAATTGGGACATGAAACAGCTTAACAAAATTAGTTAAAACAATTGGCAATAACAGTCTATAAAACAAATATAACATGAATGGAGGAAAATGTATAGAATGATAAGCAGCACTTATTATTGTTCAATAGGAAATAAGTTATACAGGTAGCAGAAAGTTTATTCTCATGTGTTAATTTTCACATGAAAATAAAATTGAAATCAGATATGATCAGGCCTATGAGTCTTGGCTGAGTACACATGTCGAACCACAGGTCTTATTGCAGATAGGCTATCTCTCTCGCACACACACTTTCTCTCCTCCTCTCTCTCCATATCCTCTTTTGTGCACATTACCTTTCTCTGCTTCCCTGCACTGTTTTATAGTCCTTCAGGCACACTAGTACATTATACAATGATACAGACGACAACAGCAGTACATGGTCATTTACAAGAGAGGATTTATAAAGAGGGTGCAGTACTAATGCTTCACTTTACACAGGAAACCAAGTGTATACAGCATTAGTCATGCATACTTTGATATTTTTGTATTGTATTACTGCTTAACTGTATTATTATCTCTGAGGAAGTCCACTATATGTGGACGAAACGCGTTAGAAGATTGCAGTTACATTTTATTCATTTATACTCTATTTTAAACTAAGGCTTTGTATTGCCTTAATAAATATTTTTTTTTACTCCAACTGCTGTATTTCCACTTCATTTGAAGACAGAAGTCCCTATTTGTGGAAGGTGAACACCTCTCCAGACCCATTGGGGGTTTAAAGGCGCATTACTCTTCATTATCTTGTGAGTGCAACCATTGGGGGTCATATTTAATTGCTAAAATTGTACTTCACTATGTGCTATGTATTCTTTTGTTTTTTAGTTATTCAGCTGTATTCCATTTTTGTTCATACGCATATCTGTATTTGAGGTTCGTTTGGGGGAAACCTCTTGGAAAGCTCAACCTATTTTTTGCATCACAGTTAAGTACTTTTGCCTATTTCCTATAAGTGGGTGGGCTAGGTATATTTGTACTTTTTGTGGGGTTTTTTTCGTTTACATTACCTTAGGTGTAAGGTGAATTTTTCAATATTATCATTGTCACACACATCAGGCAGACATTGGAAAAAGGGTCAAGGCTACCTAGGCGATCCACAAGTTAGGGGGTGCAATACTTGCCTTGCCCCTGGTGCTGGCAACCCACGCTACGCCACTGACAAAAGCATTTATTTTCACTGGCCCACAGTAGTCATAAAACACAAAAGAAATTTTAAAAAGAAAAAAAAATACATACCTGATGTGAGGATACATCATACTCAAAATAAGCATGATGTAGAACAAGAAAAAGTGATACAATGCTGACTACAAAGGCAGAAGACACTGAAACTTGGATACCCTAACAATCCAAGATAACTGGAAAAAGTGCAAAAAAGGAGAAAACAGGTTGTGCCAAATAATAATTCAGATACAATCCAACAATACTATATAGCACATACCTAAAAGTGTCTTTGTAGATGGTATACACAAATAGTCCCACAATTATTCATTGAGATATGGAAGGGTCTCTGTAAAGCCGATAATTCAACAGACAGTTTAGTATTTTCAGTGGTATAAAATAACAATAAGCACACAGAAAAAATAATAGTGTAATATTTTATAACCAAGGGTGGAAATTTAAATTATTAAAAGGACACTCACAAGAGAGGAGCTATCTCTAGCTGTATATGACAATGCAATCCTTGCCAGGGATATGTGGTGGATGATCAATCAGGTCCCTTTTGAAGTTAGAGATGCGCTCAGTGACAACTTTGATATAGATGTCTCCCATGTAATATAAACAAAGAGCTTCCAAATGAGCTCTCTCAGTCTTAGGCTTGAATATATATAATCCCCACTCATGGATATAG